TAATCAAACTGTTAGACAAATTAAACATTGATGGGAAAGATCTACGAAAAATAAAGAATATGTATTGGCAGCAAACAGCAGCTATAAGAATTAACAACTGTTTAGGTACATTTCAAAGCATAAAGAGGATGTGTACTATCACCTGATTTGTTTTCAATATACAGTGAATATATAATGAGAGCTTTAATTGGTATGCCAGGAATTGTGGTTGGTGGGCACAATATAAACAATTTACGTTATGCTGATGACACAGTCTTGATAGCAACAAGTCAGAAAGAACTACAGGAAATGATAGACATTGTGGTGTTAGAAAGTGGAAGAATGGGCCTCAGTTTGAATAATGGGAAGACAGACGTAATGGTGGTATCAAAGAAACGAATTATTCCTAAGTGTGTAATAAAAGTGGATGGTGTTATTTTAGGACAAGTACAGAAATATAAGTATCTGGGCACATGGATAACATCAGATGGAAGATGCATAACTGAGATAAGAAATAGAATAGGACAGGCAAAAACTGCATTTTATAAAATGAAAAACATCTTGTGCAATATATCCTTGTCATTGAGAGTTAGAAAAAGAATTCTTGCTTGCTACATACATCCAGTTTTAACATATGGCTGTGAATCCTGGACAATCGGTAGGCAGGCCAAACAATTTCTGGAGGCCTCGGAGATGTGGTTTTACACAAGAATTCTTAGAATACCTTGGACAGCCAAAAAGAGCAACCAAGAGGTTTTGAAAGAGGCGGGAGCCCGAAGACAACTTATCACAGACATCAGAAGGAGACAGTCATCATTTTTTTGGCCATGTTTCGAGAAGAGGGAAAATAGAACATGTTGTGACCACTGAAAAAATATGTGGAAGGAGAGATAGAGGAAGACAACGAGAGAAGATGCTTGACAGTCTTGTTGCATGGCATGGAGGTGTGTCAGCACACGAACTGATACATGCTGCAGGAGATCGCAGATTATGGAGAGGCATGATCGCCCACGCCAGTCGGCAAGGCACCTGATGATGATGATATTATCGTCAACTACTATCGTCTGCAGAAACGCTCGAAATTGTCAACGGTCGCTATTATCGTCTGCTACTATCGTCTGCAATGTTGCGTCTCTTGAAATTGTCAAATAACCCTAGTTTTGTCGCGATTTGTTCCTTGGCAGAATGCTCGCATTTTACAAAAAGCCTGAGCCCCACAAGGATATTTTATGGGCGCCATAATATAAGGACAACGTTCTGATTTGGGTCAGAAATTAAGAGCAGATTAGGTCAGGCTGAAGCTGCATTTCATAATATGAAGAATATCTTGTGCAACAGGTCCCTCTCTTTGGATGTCTAAAAACCAGGCACTAAAATGTTATCTAGAACCTATATTGCTGTATGGTAGAGAATCATGGAATGTGAATGCACAAATTATAAAGAACTTGAAGGCAACGGAGGTGTGGTTTTTCAGGTGAATATTAAGAATCCCTCAAACTGCCAGAGTAACTAACGAGGGTTGAGTAAGAAGAAGAATGGAGCACTTATGCATTACTACCCGTGTGGCATAATATTGATCCGTTGTTCAAACCTCAAACCATATTCAATACATAACGAAAATTACAATTGTTACTAGACTCCACCTGCTGAGAGAGAAAGACTTTAAAGAATTAATCTGCAATTACTTCTTCTTCTTCTTCTTCTTCTTCCACTTCTTCTTCTCCTTTTTCTGCTCTTGAAAGGATGGTTGGCACTTTGTTTTGCGGTTTACCGCTAGGCTGCAACATTCCACCTTTCGGCCCAATGTATCACATTTTAGCAAACCCTGAATTCGTTGACGTGTACGGCATGTTTGTTACGGGCAGTGAGTTTATTTCTAAAATGGGGTTCTATAACCTACACAGGAAGTTGGACGTTAATTTATTGGTCTTATTTATTTAGTTTAGAAGCATTACATAATACATTTTTTGGCATAATGAAGAACAAACAAACAAGGACCATCACAAATCAAAGGAAAGGATCCTAAACAAGTTAGCTGAATGTTTGTCAGTTTGCAACAAGTTCATATTGAGGAAATGAACTATGGGAGATAAAGGCAGTAGATCAAGCAGCAGCGGCAGTGAGAACAGTGACTCCAGACACTCCAGCCAATCATGTGCTAGTGAAGAGGAACGACTGAGACGCCTTTTCAACAGCTGTGATGCCAATGGAGATGGATTTCTAGACAGGTAAAAGGTCCATTTTAAAGTCTCTCACTATTTGACATTTTGTTTCTTTGCAGGTTTTTATTTGTTTTGTTGAAGGTACATTTCATAACCATCCTGTTGTACCTTTTAATTGTCACATAAAGCATGCTGTTGATTTCCGCCCTACTGTTCTTTACTGTGCATTGTTTTCAATATCCAGAGTTTGAATTTACCTCTGACCTTCCTCATCAGCACTTGTCATAAATTTGTTTTCTTTTTTCTTTGCGTTCGTTTCGTATGCTCAGATCAGACCATCTGGTGGGTTGCCTCTATGAACTCACATGTCAGCTGCATGGTTCCCCATAGCTTGCTATGCACACTTTGCTGGCTAGGTGTCTTTTCGAAGTTGCAGGTAGAGTGGGCAGGTCTGCAGAATGTGCTGAGGTGTTTGGGGTTTGACAGGCACTCTGGGGGGAGTGTACAATCTTTATTTTATGCATGTGGTAGTTGAGCCTGCAGTGTCCTGTTCGTAGACGGAAAATTGTCATGGATTCAATTGGATGTCCTACTTCTTCAATCCATTTGTTTCCAGTTTCACTTCTTAGTAAAAACAAAAAGTAAAGATCCCTTTTCACGCCTTTTAGGCGCATCAGATTTATACGAAAAGCACCCATATTTTTACAGACCAATCGGCACTAGGTTCCTTTCTTATGTTCATCAGTTTCCTAAGCATTTGTTTTTGAATGAAGTAAACTTTTGGTTCCATGCCGAGTGTACATTTTGTGTGTAATTAATGTATGGGCTGTTTATTCTTCTTCTAGTCATCAGCGTTTGATTTCTGTCTGCTCTAATGTGGGTCATAAACAGGGTGGTGTGCTTGAGGTTTTTACCGCTGCACCCCCGTATTTTATCTTGTAGGCATACTCCTGGGAGCTAGATTTCTTCTCTGCAGCTGGCAGAGTCTAAGCAGTAAAGGTAAAAGGTCAAGTTGGGAGATGTGAACCAGCGTCATTGCACAAGGTTGTACACCATAAGTGCTCTGCCACCAGTACGGACAGCTGATAAGAAACTGTTCACCTGTGTTGCCGTTCGCACGCAACTCCGTGGCTACAGCGACATTTCTCCATTTACCCTAGAGTGTTAGCTCTGGTACCCATATCCTAGAGGCTTGGTGAACCCCAGGGAACCACCCGGTTTCGAACACCAGCCGTGGGCTGCAGCGAGTCGCAGCCTCCTATTGACTGCGCTAACACGGCCCCCCTGGGCTGTCCTGTAAGACATGGTCTGGAGTTTGCGTTGGGGAACCACAACCATGTGCAGCAGAGTTAGCAAGACCCAATTGATGTAGTGTGTGTTCTGAGTTCACAATGACTTAGCTGATATGCTTCCTCCTCTTAGCCAGGGACTGATTCAGGCTACTTCCATTACATTATCCTCTGACATGCTTTAACTCCACTTGGTCTATGTTGAAGATGTGGACATACGAAATTGAGTTGAGTCAAGAATTAACATCACAGTACTCAGGGCATTCCCATGTGTGCTCCGTCCTCATCTTCAGCAGCCACACAGACTTCTAATACTGATGGCACCGGTCACAATCTGGTTATATGTCTGTCTTGCCTTTCCTTTGACTTTAGTGAACAGACCAGACCCTCAGGTTCCACCCAGGTGCCTCATTTTCTTTAGGCCTTAAAAATCTTGTTTCTCAACTGATTCCGTTGCTTGTTCTCAAAGGGCTTTGACCAGATCTGCCTTGCCATGAATTAATTCACCACCCAGTGGTGCAAATCCAGCCAATCAGTCTGCCTATTCATTGCCCACTACGCTGGCGTAGCCTGAAGAAAAGATCCAAAGTAAGCTCACTACCCATGACCTTCCCAATGAAGCTTGCCACTCTGCTTGAAGCATCCCTATCTTCACCTCTCAGCATGCTTTCAGCGTCTGTTATGATTATAACATGTGTATGCATCTTGTTCCTTAGCCACTGGAAAGCTGCAGTGACCGCCTTCACCTCCATTCTCATGCTAGGTGTTGTGATGTCATATGCCAGAAGAATGGATTATATTTCATGAAAAAAAAAAAAAACCCAGTCAAGTACAACTGCTTCTGGAGAGATTGAAAAATTTGAAAAAAACAATAATAAAAGAAATAAGAAGGAAAGAAAAGAAGAGCAATATTTTGACTACCTTAAAAGTCATAAATTAAAATCTGAAAGCAGGCAGGCAAGAGGTAAAACAATAAATTAAAATCTGAAAGCAGGCAGGCAAGAGGTAAAACAGTGATATTAATGGGAGGGTAACGTTAAGAGATAGGTGAATTTCTGTCTCAGAAAGAAAGCACCAAGAAAAGAGACTGAATATATTGGGGATCCAAACCAGCCAGCTTTCATTTTGGAGGTTCCCATGTGTGTTCCTGGACCCCATTGGGGGGGGGGGGGGGGGGGGTAAGAAGAATAGACCCACTGCTTCTCTAACAAGTATGTCATAAAAGGCCAATAATTAGAACTTTGTTGAAATTGGATGTGTTGGCCTGAAAGGAACAGATGTCACAGCCTAGCTGTAAACCGCAATAAAATCTGCCTACTGCCCTTTAAAAGGCAAATGGGAAAACAATTGTGGTGATGGTGCACATGCACATTGATAATGACAATTCAGAAGTGGACGAACAACCAGAACTTTCCGCCAGAGTTTACAGCTGGTGAACGCGAAGAAGAAGGAGAAGAATTGATAATGATATGAAATACTTGTTTTTTTCAACTTACGAGCTGGCCACATGGGCAAGACAACCTCACACTGTTTATATTTTACTGAATCCACCAGAGAGGACCTGGCTTTCATGTGTCGCATGCTGAACATGGCAGATTCGGTCGACGAGGTTCGTCAGCAGCTGGGTTTGGCTGAGAATTCCAGGATCTCCTTTGACGATTTTCTTCACTGCCGCTCCCGGGTGATGCTGGAGTCGTCCATCCAGCATGTGGCGCAGCGGCCTTGTCCGGGCGTAGCTTCCGTCCAGTCTCCAGCCATGATGTCAGGGGAGGATACTGGTGTGGAGTCTGACACCAGCGGCCGAGTCGGAACCACACCCCTTAACCACCTGACCTCGTGGCCCACCCTGAGTTCGGATAGTCTTGGTAAGTTTATATTGTTGGGGGTGGGTTAATGGACAAACGCTGGGCCGTCATTGTTTCTTTGTCTCTGAAATTCATGCCTTTCTTGATGTCTTCTTTTTCTTTGTCTTGTTTTTCTTCCTTTTTTTCTTCTCCTCCACCCAGCTTATAAAAGACACAGATAAACTGTGGAACTTGTCCCGTAGGCCACACAAATAAACATTGGAGTATGTCCCATAAGATGTGCACATAAACACGTAAGAAAGATATAGACAGACATTGGAACACATCCTATAAGACAAACAAACAAATGGTGGAACAAATCATATGAGACAGATACATAAACATTGGAACACAGCCCATAAGACTTAACAAATAAACAGTGGAACACCTAATATAAGACAGACACAGGTATAGTGCCTACCCTGGTAGATGTTCTCTGGCTGCATTCTTACTAAGTGACCAAACCCTTTGATCTTCCTGTTTTTCAGTGAATTTGCTGCATGGTTTTGTTCCTACAGTCTGTCTGATAATATCATTTCTAACTTTGTCTCGGATGGTTAAGTCGGCGACTTTTCTCAGGCGTCTCATTTCACAGGTGTTAATTTTTACGTAGGTTAGCCCTTGATAATGTCCAAGTCTGGCACTGGTAGCACAGTGTTGGTATGAATATGCTGTTTATAATGTTTCTTGGTGCTCATACTTGTGTTTAAATGTCTCAGTAATGGTGTCATTTGGTATATAAGTGCACTGGCTCGTTGGCATCTTGTTCCTGTTTCTCGATCTATTCTCCCATCCTCGTAGAATATACTTTCTGGATATTTAAATTCTTTGACTTGCTTCGGACAAGTACCATCCAACTCGATATGTAGAGGACTAGGAATTCAGCTGACCTGCGTTACTTCAGTTTTAGTAGTATTTATCTTCATGTTGTATCTTCTGCATGTTGTACTTAGCCTGTTCAGATGATCTTGCAGACTACTTCCCTCACTTTAGAGCAGTTGCTGATCATCTGCAAATAGTAGCTCATTTCTTGTGTGTGGAAATAATTCTTTCTCTGGAAAGTAAAGTTCCTCATTCTGGGTTGACTGCTTAAAGCTGGCTTCTTTTGATATTTTGTCTATGTATATATTAAATAATAGAGGAGAGAGCACACATTTCCACTTTACCCCTACATTGATTGTAAACCTATCAGATATGCCTTCTTGTGTTCTCACTGCGCTTTAGGAAGTGTGGTACATGGCCACAGTGTTATCTAGCAGTTGTCCTTGTACCCCATAATCCTCAAGAATAGCACATAGTTTGTTGTGATCTCTTCGTGGGTTACTTTCATTTAAGGCATTTTTCAATTAGTTTATCTGTTCAATGTGTTGTCATCATTTTTCTATAAAACCGCATCCTCACAGATTCCAAGTAATTTTCCACTAATTGGATGATTGTCTGTCTGTCTGTCCTTGATTCACTTTGGTACATCAGGAGCAACTATATTTAGTTCTTATGAACTGTATTTCTCACTTCATTTGACAAACATAATGTCTGCTACATCGCCATGTTGCAGGTTCTTTGTAGAACGTCGCCCTCATCATGGTCTGCCTGAAAGAAACTTCGCCTCTCATCACCAGCTCTCCCAGCTCATACAATTTCTTACTGACGGTGTCACTTATATCCTGTGGCCATCTTTGTGCTAGTCAGCCCCCACTCCTCTTTCCTGGTTTCGTGCCTTCTGCTATTACTTTTCCCTGTCCGCCATTGTGTTAATGTCTACTACACAGTTTGCTGTTGGAGACTGAGCACCTGTCAGTATGCACAGTGCGTTATTATATTAATTCTGAAAAAAAAAACACATCAAATCAGTGAGACAGAATAATCAACACCTCATTTTTTTTTGGGGGGGGGGGGGGACTTCTGAGGGAGAAAGCTTGCTGTCTGGTCAACGGCTGGTTGCTCGCAAGAAATGGGAAATATCTTGACATTTTGGAACATTTCAGACCTGCAAAGTTATTTTGGGAATATTGTAATTACCTAACCTGTCACTCATGATTTGATGCCAGCCTCCTTCTGGTTCCTCTCATCAGTTTTATCAGCACATTTTTGTGTCTGTTTTTTCTTTCTTTCTTTTTCTTTCTTTCTTTCTTTCTTTTTTCCTTTCTTTCTTTCTTTTTTTCTTTCTTTCTTTCTTTCTTCCTTCCTTCCTTCCTTAATCTCTGTTTAATATTTCTTACCTGTTGCCGTATATACAGTCAGGTAGTTACTCGTGCCATCGGAATTGGAACTATTTGATTGCTGCTGAAGATGGGGATGGAGCATTTATGGGAGTATCCCAGAAGTTATGTTGATTCTTATTTCAACACTGATACATCAGTTTATGGAATAACTGACAACAGGGGCATCTTTGTGGGGGGAGTGGGGGGGGTCCCCCTGGTGCACAAGAAGCGAGTAGCAGTAGTGTATTGGTCAACATGCCTGTCCTGCCAGCTATGTGAGAAGATATCAGACCAAAGGAAATGTAGGATTGTCAGCTTCACATTATCACAGACACAAAGGACAAGTGAATGTTTCAGCTAGCAAGCCTTCATCAGAGCGTTACATGAATAGACAAGAGAGATCCATGCAGTCTCTCTGGCCAGTTGAGTCTCTGAACACCAGAATGAATACTAGCCAGAAAAAGCTGTGACAGGCAAGGGTCATAACTAAAAATAAGGAGATAAAACTGTGTTGGATGTTAAGTCCCCATTAGATAGATGAGGTGATTTTCCAGAAACTTGCAGACTGTGCCATTGGAGTGGCTAGATTTAATGAGCGCAACCTTCATGTTGAAGGCACCTTGGTGGCCCATTGAAGTAAATTTGTAAGAATAACCTTTGTAAGAGTAACCTGATTGAGCCAGCCTAAGAAATGGGTACAGGAAAGTGTTGAGAAGTAAAGGTATCAGATATCTAGCCCCTGAGTGACCACTGTTTCCTGCTGCCTACAAAATAATGAAGGTCCTGTTACAAAGTCTTTAGGTGTATTAGGCATTTTGATACAAAGATAGCAAATCAAATGGCTTGCCCACTTGAAGAGAGTGCTGTGTGACACCATACTCCAAAAGAGGAGAAGGACATAGAGCGTGAGGTAGACCAAGAACGATATGGAAAGATAACATCAGAGAAATTTTACAACAGCTCGATGTTGCTAGAAGATCAAGAAGCATAACCTTATATATCTGTTGACACCCAGGAAGGTAAAAGAGTAACAGAAGATGGACATATTTTTATGTCAACATCTTTTGTTTCAAAATAGATCAGTTCTTATCAAAAGAGGATGTTGTCCTTGTCACGTTGGTTACCTTTACTCTCCAGGACATTTCCTAGAAACCATTGTTGATTTCTATATATTATTATTTTTTGTTTCTAGGAGCTCTTTCCTGCAACAAACCAGAAAGTACAGATTATGACAGCGGTGCCCGTGACCTTAGTCCGGAGCCTGTTTCCCTGACCCTGACTCATTTAATGGAGAGTCATGACCCCCAGGCTTTCAGGCAACTTCGGCAGTCTGGAGCAGACACCTTACTGGAAATAGCAAACCGGGTGAGTTTACGCCTGTGTCAGTGATATGATGTGTTATTAAAATAAACATCACTGCACTTTGGGCATTTCTGTGCACGCTCATTCCTCAGACGCAGCAGCCATTCTAATGTACCTCTACTGATTGTTTCCATAAGAAGTTGGTTAAAATGTCTTCTGTATTGACCTTTAAGATGGTATCGATCTGCTGCAATAAGCTTTACTCCCAGGTCACGCAGTCATGTTAGCATTATAAAGTCGTCATTATCGACCAGCCTTGTCCATGCAGAATTGATGATATCAGCTCGGTGTCCGTGCTGCTTCCCATCTGCAGTGGTGCAGTACTTGCCAGAAAGGGTAAGAAATTGGTAAGCACGTCCATTGTCTGTTATAAATACCCCCCAGCCAGTGCCCTGCCAGTTTGGTTGGTGTTCTTGTCTTTCTGAAGGTCACCATGGTGTTCTAGATCAATTCTCTTGGTGTTCCTTCTTCCACATTCACCAGCTGTGAACTCTGGTAGAAAGTCCTCTGTCTGAAACCCCCCCCCCCCCTTCCTTTTTCTTCTAGCATTGTTTACACATCAGTTATCTATATCTGGCTTATTGTGTGCAGACTGTTGGTTCTTCACCTCTCGGGTAAACACTCTCTAGCTTTTAAGGAAATATCAGTATTACATGTGTTGGCCAAGCTCCTAGCTGGAGCCTTTTTCCAGAGTGACCAGATAGATGAGTAAATAAGTCTTGACCAGTATCCGCTCTGGATCTTAGGGCCACCACTGGTCAGTGCCAGACAGATGAGTGATTGACACGTGACTGAGGCCCGGTTAGGGTATATTTTCGGCCTCGGCAATTTGGGACGGTTATTCGGAGGATGGCCAATGAAATTCAACTCGCCATGAATTAGAAATGCTTGCACATATAAATAACAAATCTGTGGCATGCATCACTTTTGCGTGAAGGGATTTGGGGGCTTTAAGGGATTTGCGTGCGACTTGTTGACATTCTCCTCTGTTCGATGTGACCGAAATAAATCGGACTTGAATTAAAAAATATCCACATGCCTTGAACACTGCAGTGCAGTTACTGCCTGAATTACTTCCCTCCACGATTGCAGTCAACGAGATTAACACCTCAGTTATGAGAATCCTACACCTACAAACCCCGGTAAGCTCCGTTCAACCGTGAGGCTATTTTGGGAGCGAGCGCCCCCCCCCCCCTTCCCAACCCCGATGATTACAAAATAAGCTGAAGTGCGGTCCAGGCAGGCAGGATCCACCTACGGCGAGGACAACCCTTTGCATGAGTCAGGCCAGATGCATTTCCATTGAGCTTCCTTCCTCAAGTGGATTAATTTTCTCTTACTCTCTCTCTCTCTCTCTCTCTCTCTCTCTCTCTCTCTCTCTCTCTCTCTCTCTCTTCTCTCTCTCTCTCTCTCTCTCTCTCTCTTTCTCATCCTCCTCCTTTTGCCCTCTCACCCTCCCCCATCCTCTTTCTCTATGTATGTGAGTATATATATATAAATGTGTGTGTGTGTGTGTAATATATACAGTATAAACACCTCTAGACGAACACGTTTTTTCTGATGCATCTTATACCTGTTAAATAGTGTTTAACATGAACATAGTTTGACTCCCGCAGGGATGTACGTGTATTTATATTATTAGTCATATCAGCAAATTTTTTTTACTCGAATACTTAATTGTTGGGTCCCTTGTAATTCTTGCTAACAAGGCTTTTCTATTTGCCTGCGTACGCGCGCCCTTGTGTTTATGTGCGTAGCAAACCTTTATCCGGTGGGGGGAAGATTAAAAGAAATGGGGGATGAGGGGTAAGACGTGGAAGACCCTTAGAACAGTGGTTCCCAACCTTCCTAGTGCCGCGACCCTTTCATACAGTTACCTCATGTTGTGGCGACCAGCAAACAATTATTTTCTTTCATATCTTCAATGAATATGTGTTTCCTGATGGTCTTAGGCGACCCCTGTTGTGAAAGGGTCGCTCGACCCACTAAAAAGGGTCGCGATCGGCAGGACGAGAACTGCTGCATTAGAAGGACACATGAAATAAAGTTACAATGTAAACTTATATGAGATACCATAGACAGACAAGCAGCAGAACACCAGTACTGGAGATCACCTGTGAATGCCTCATGTATAAACCGTTACATGAATCTGTGTGATCCCGGCTGTTTGATTCCCAAATAAAGGCTTGTCGAATAGTTAACTCTTTCATTCCTGAGCAGTTTACTTTAACCCTTTTTATCCCAAGTAGATGGGCTAAAAAAAAATACGTCTATGGGAGTTCAATGAGACAGTACGGGGCAAATATAGTTGAACTAATAATTCAAATACTGTATAGCGGCGATAAGTTTGAGTTTTTTGAACAACTGATCAACATCATGGCACACGGGTAGTAACAGTAAACCATAAGTGCTCCGTTCTTCTTCTAACTCAGGTCTGAGTCCAAAGAAGCTCAGCACAGTAAACAGGCTCTGTAGCACCGGCGAGGATCCCGAAATACTTGGGTAGATTTTTAACTCCAAATTTTGCCCGGGCAGCGCCGTTAGGCTACTCTTTTTTTATTTCCAACTGCTCAGGGATTTTTTTCAAGTGCGCAGCAATACACACGGGCGTCCGGTCTTACTATCCAGAGACCAAGGTTTATTACTAGAAGTCCAAGTCCACATGAAAAAATCCCAGCCCTTATCGTAACTTCTAGCACCCAGCCCCCCCCCCCCCCCCCCAACGGCGATAAAAGACAGCAGAAACACTATATTATGTTTGGTTAAGAAATTAATGTTGAAATGTTTTGTGCCGAAAGAGTTAATTTGTGTGTAGTCTATTTTTTTCCCTTTCGTTTCCTGGTCATGTTTTTGTGTTATACTCATCAAGTTCTCAGTACGGTTTGCGTGTGTTTGACGAGGATGTTTCCACTACTAAGTACCGAGGCCAGAACCGGAGACACAATGAAGATACAATAACGAGAGTACAGACTTATGAGGCCTGTTAGGAATGTTTACCCAGCAGCGCCCGAAAACATCTGCACCGGTAACTTTTGTTGTCGTTTACTTTTGCATGGCAGCTTTTGGCGCAGTAGGAAAAGCACGCTGCCAAATTATCCCATTTTCAAATTGATCGCTTCCGCGTGCCATGTTCACGGCGCGGAACGTAAGCAAATTATACAGAGAGAACGGTGTATGTAGAGGAGTTCGTTACTTCTTTACTTCCTCTCTCTCTCTCTCTCTTCCCCCCCCCTCTCTCTCTCTCTCTCTCTCTCTCTCTCTCTCTCTCTCTCTCTCTCTCTCTCTCTCTACCTCCTCGGTAAACGGTTGCTTGGTTAGTGCAGTGTTCTTCAACTGGTAGACCGCGGAAAGTCATAAATATATATGCTTAATTATGTAATTAAGTTGCATGGGTGGTTTCTTTCATTCTGTTCTCTCTACCCATTCTGTAGGGTTAATACATCAATAACTTCTATTTGTATGCAAAGTGGGTCCGGAGAAATGAAATTAAGATGGTATTATAGTGCTTCGTATATCATAAACAATGCTTCGCCACATATATAATATATTAAAACCTCTGTGCCGCAGCCGATGCTGCATTGACTGAAAATTATATGTCTGCCATCGAATGTAACAAAATGACTGCTGTCTGCCTTTTGTTTTCGTTTATAGTTTTGGTTTTCTTCAGACGGGCTGCAAAACCATTCCCCCCGTTTCGGTGGGCCGCAGGTTGAAAAGGTTGAGAAACACTGGCCCCCCGTGTTGGCAGAAATAAAGATCCAAACGCTAGCTACTCTCCGCTGCATTTTACAGTATATTTGATTGCATACGCGCAAGATAGATATGTGGAGTTGGGCGAGATGGTTTTAGCGTGTAGGCAAGAAGTCTGAGGCGATATTCGCCAGGGTGTCGTTTCCCTTGTGAAAAAGAAGGGGGGGGGGGGAAATCCGCCCATGTTTTACCAACACGGCAGGATGTTTCGCTGCAGCGCACCTGTCGGTACTGTTTATGCAAGCAGGGTGGATACAGTAAAAAACACCGATTACCTCCGAATGTGAAGACAAAGCGGACAAAAGGCGAATTCTGGTCTCCGTCCTGGCAACGATATTGATTTTCTCCTGATCGCTGTGGGTCGGGGGTTTTCACATCTATTGATTACGTCTTGTGGAAGCAAACGGCCCTTTCAAGCGGCTTTGGTCGTGTGTTTTGACCCGAGCTGTCCACACACGCCTCTCGCATTTTATTTTATTTTTAAATTCTCCAATTGCAAATTATTTTTTGGCGAATGCCCAAAATTACGAGTGGGTGCAGATGTGGCGTCAGCTGAAAATAAAATGTTTCACGGAAGGGAGTGGCTCCCAAAAACGGTGCCATGGAAACCGCATGAAAAATAGAAGCTAAAAAACCACGGCATTAGAGCGCCCTGTCACGCAGGGGTATTTTAATATGTATAAAAAAAGATTGGGGTCAGTGTGGCAACCCTTCCCTGCTTCATTCAGTTGCAGATGTAAGGGTTTTTATTTCGAGGTTGTAACATTAACTCATTCAACAATACAAAGAAGATAGAGGTATAAAAGTGGGTTCTTTAATTTTATACGACCATATCACGTTGGCCTCGTAATTCGGTAGGGAAATCCCCAGAAGATCTCATAGTATGTGTAATAAACCTTGGCTTGACTTGGATTGCACTTTGGCTTACTACCTATTGGTTTTCGCCACGGCTCACTCTCTGGATGTTTACTGCTACAAAACTTGCACTGCTTTAACGTCTAGGCTTGACAACACAAACGCCGCTCAGCTTCTTGGTACATACTGTCAGTTTATTCGGTCACATTTGTTCCACATGTTTCCACAATTAATTATACTTCTCTCGCACGCAACATGTTCAAACACTAGTACCTCGCGCAATATTAAAACTACTCTAAGAAAATGCTACCGTCTTCTCTGACTTCTGATGATCAACTGACCACGAGTCCAGCTCGGTCTTCCCCTCGCTTCCTCGACTAGACCCAATTATCTCGTGC